ATGACAAAACTGTTTTATTTGGAATAAACAGTGATGACAAAAATTATACTTTGGTATAAATATGGGTATAGATTTTGCCACTTTCCAGGTATAAAAACGGTCACACCTTTGAGCACCCAGGGGCACCTCCCTACCCAGATATATATCAACTGTCCCCGGGAGCTATAGCTACTAGACTATTCTTCTCGTTACAGACCGGGTGTGGCGGCACTAAATTTTTGCTCACCATCCCTGGCGCTCAATGTGCGAGCTTACTAGGGGGGGGGGGGGGGGGGGTAATTGACAACAATTCTCTATGTGAACCTCACGTTTTAAATGTCACATATCACAATAAATCATAATTCCTAACAAACTCAAAAGTTGTCAGTCTGATCAAAAACAATCTGATCTTTAGAGAGGTTTTGTCGACTTTTAAAGATTTAAAAAAAAAAATTGCCGGCAATCAGAATTAAAAGCGCACTACATACGTCTTATTTATTTTCAATCCTACTGTTTGTTTGTTTTATTGAAACACATAAAATTCCTCAAAAAGTATTAAACTGGTTACACTAACTACTAGAACACATATTTAAAACTTACGAATTGTACATAAATTACTAGTACTATCTAAAGCACAACAATTAAAAAGCTGGTGATAATAAAAAAATAGATAAAAAAAATATACAAAAGCAATATACAGTGAATCAATGAAACATAGAAAAGAATTAAATGAAACAAAAAACGCATTAAAAAAGAGAAAAGTATTTATGTTAATTTGCCAGAAGATGTTGCTGTCTAAGGTTCGTGTTATTTTTGATAGACTGGGCAACTATTATTTGTACATTCAGGTTTGTATCACCCATTAATTTTGAAAATATTTATGAAGTTTATAGTGTGATTGGTAATCAGTAATGATCGCGAGAATATGGTACTCGTGACTTTGCGAGAGATTATTCTCTTTGTGTGTGGATTAAAACACTACGCCAAAAATATAGTACGGACGTACGTGTCATTTAGACACGAGTTGGGCGTAAAATACGTAACTAATCAACATAGCATTATTATTACACCACTTTAAAAGTATATTTTTCGGCATAAAAAAAATAGTGAAATGTTATTTCATAATCACGATATACGTGCGGAACTTCTTTCCCAGGGTTTGCGGAAGGATAAAAATGCCTTACCCATGTGCTTCCGGAAATAACAAATGCACTTCCGGCGGCTGAAATTTTCTCGACTTTTCAACGCAATTTCTGTCGTTATTACCCAATATTTTGAAAATCGGACAGTCCTCAGGTAAGGAACTGTTATCTAAGAATCAATTCTGTGAATTTGGGCTGGCTATGTCTATCAGTGAAAGAGATTGGGGCATGCGATTCGCGGTGTCGGGAACTGCTTCCGGTGGGGTGTCAAAAACATACGCGTCTTATACAAAATGTCGGCTGCGTTGTTCCTTGCTCGCATATCCTCATATTTTTCGACATAACTCCTAATTTTTTGAAAGAAATGTTTACACCGAGTGATGAAAATGTGATGGCTTTCAATCACGGTAAGCATATTTTGGGTGTAGTACGAGTAATTACACACCACGGCATCAACTTTGTATCCGGATTCCTGGCGGTACGGCCTTTAATTTCATCGCAATCAAAATGGTTGTTTTAAAAACTATTACAGAGATAGAAATTTACTGAAAAATACTTGCAATATATATATATAT